GCACAGAGCCGATGAGGTGGACACTGGTATTCCTGTATTGTTATCAGCGATACTCTGGGCAGAGAGAAGCCCGCGGGCCTTGGCTGCGCCGCTCACAGCAAACACAAAAGGCTGCCTGCAAGTCCAACATCAAACAACTTAAACAACATTAAAATCACACCACCACTTAGTCACACCAAAGAAATCTGTCTGTCCCATCGTGATGAAATATTTTCCATTTTTACTGCCTTAAGATCGGAAGCCCAACATGCGACAGCTTGATGGTCTCTGTGACGGTGAAAATCTTTTCCCTGGAGAAAGCTGAAGAGAAACCTATAAGAGCGGTAGGGTGCACTGAGCTCCTCCCCCGTGCCATGTCTAATGTCCTAACAAAAGCACGGAGTTCTCTTCCTTCAGGAAACTACCCGGGCACTACACCAAGTATAGTGCATACAGCTGAGAGCCTCAGCTGAGTCACATGAGCAAGGCCAGAGGTAAGAACTGAGGGCTTCCTGGAAGAGGTGGCACAGAAAGGATTGTCACTTGGGAAGTCATTTATTCATTCAACAAGCACTCACTGCCAAGAAGGCAGAGTGGGCTGCTGGAGAACGTGCTGGCCAGGCCCTGGCACTTCATGTTTAAAAACACAAAGGCAGGCACAAGACAAACCAGAGGAGTGAAAACTACAGGCCCTTCACACAGATGACCGCAAAAACCACCTGTGCACCCACCTTCCTCCCCCAGGGACCAGCCTCTGACAACACAGCGCGATGGCCACTGCCAGGCTGAGCTGGGTTTTCCTAGGAACACCTGTCTGCAGCAATCCGACAGGGTCCTCCACAAAGGCCCTCCCTCCAGAGCAGGTTAGCATCTTCTTTTACAGATTTATCTGGGTCCAGCGTGGTAGCCTAGCAGCTAAAGCCCTTATCTTGCATGCGCTGGGATCCCATCTGGGTGCATGTTCTGATCCTGGAGGCCCCACTTCCCAACCAGCTCCCTGTTGTGACCTGGGAAAGCAGTTGAGGACGGTCCAAAGCCTTGAGACTCTGCACTCATGTGGGAGACCCAGAAGAGCTCCCGGCTCCTGGTTTCAGACTGGCTCAGTGCCAGCTGTTGTAGCCACTTGCAGAGCAAATCAATAGACAGAAGATCTTTCTCTCTGTCTCTCCTCTCCTCTGTATATCTGACTTTCCAATAAAAAGAAAATAAATATTTAAAAAGAAAAGACTGATCTGAAAAATGTTTTAGCCTAAGTCCGGAGGAGGGAGGAGGAGAAGGAAACCAGGAAAGACTGTACCACCCGGCGGCCACGCAAGTTGAAGAGATGAAAAAGACACCAAGACAAGAAGTGTGGGCTCCTGCCAGGCCTGCCTCGGGGCTTTGAAAGCAACTCCTTGGGGCGGGGGAGCCATGGCTGCAGGGGGAGACGGCTCATCACAGAACTCTGGGAGCCTTTGGGAGAACACACGTGCAGCCTACAGGCGGTGCAGAAAAAAAAAATGATAGCAAAGAAATATAATTAGCACAGACTTCAAAGGATCAACTGTCTAAATCAATTAGAACCCTGAGCAAAAACATCACCCTCTCTAGATTCTAACACACCGCGAGGAAAAGCTCAACATATGACATAACTGCCTCATCCAGTCTAATGAACCAAGTTAACTTTTTGATTGGGATAATCAACTATGTTGTAACTGGCTTCGTGCGTCTTTCTCTAGTCTCACTAACAGTGAACATTGCATGTGTGGCACTGTATTGAACCTTAACACAGCGATGACCTCCGATCCCATCTGACTAGAAGGATGGGAAAGCCCAGCAAAGTGAAGTCCATTCTCCAGGGTCACACAGCAGCGAGCAAAAGGACCCGAATGCGCATTAAGCAGCTTCCTACTCGGCTCCCCAGCAGGGCGGTTTCTGGCTGGGTTGGCTGAAAACTGCGGAACCTGCGTGAGGTCCATCCCCACCTTGCCAATGTCTCAAATCATCTGAGGGAATTTTACTGGGGCTGGCACCGTGGTGTAGTAAGCTAAGCTTTTGCCTGTGGTGCTGGTTTCCCTTATGCACACCAGTTTGCACCCAGCTACTTCCCTTTCCATCCAGCTCCCTGCTTGTGACCTGGGAAAGCAGTCACGGACAACCCAAAGCCTTGGGACCTTGCACCTGCATGGGAGATCTGGAAGATGCTCCTGGCTCCTGATCAGCTCAGCTCCAGCCACTGCAGCCACATGGGGAGCGAACCAATGGATGGAAGATTCCTCACTAGGACTCCCCTTCTCACTGTGGCTCTGCCTTTCAAATAAAAATAGAAGACATCTCAAAAAAAAAAAAAGAAGAACAAAGGAATTTTACTGAATCTGAGGTACTTATGATTCAACTCTCCTTCACAGAAAGGTCGCCATGCCAAGAAGATAAACACAAAACCTCCATTCTTTTCTTTAAGTTACATGTTGCTTAGCCCTTGAGAAATTAAAGTCAGGATATTGTTGATAAGCTTGAAATGGAAAAAAAAAAAGCAACCACTTTCTGCAAGGGTAAGTGGATTATCACCTGTATTACTTACTGTGGATACTGACAACAGAAATGCTGCCATTAGAGAAGGCGTATGGGAATTCTCATGTTAGCATTAACAGCTCCTGTCCAACGCCTCACTCCACCTGTTCACATGACCGCCCAGCCCCCTGACGAAGGAGTCACCCCGCAACCGCATTCCCCAGCCTCGGCGAGGTAGAAGAGACCAGGCCCTCCTTGGGTCAAGGCCACAGAAGCCAGCCTCCAAATCCACTTCCTCTCAACTGTCCTGTGCCAGAGGGTCGCCTTTCACTTTTCCAGGAGTTTCTGGCCTCCCTGCACACCACCACTCTTCCTGCGCTGCGGCTCTGGGCAAACTGCAGGGTGATGGCGCTTCCTCCCACCCGTTGCACAGGAAACAGGTTGTGCGGGAGGCAAGCGGCTATCTGCTCCCCTTTCATAAAAGCCAAGGCTTCAAAGAAAGATTGCAGTGGATCCGAAATAACTAAGCCACGCTCCCCCTTGCCCCTAAAAATATCCCATCTCGTTTCCTCTTCAAAAGCGGGAGGATGCGAAGCTGCTAGGCTGACCGTGACTTCCCTCTGCACCAAGGGGCAGAAGGCCTTGGGCGGAGGCGGCTGGCAGACACATCACCCTGCCCACCTGCCATTCATCCTCTTCTTTCTCTGTAGCAGCGGGAGCTCCAGGCATGATCATGACACAACAGAGCAGGACAGGGACAGTTGGGGACACACCGGATGCTCAACTGGACAGGACCAGACAGGTCTGCTCCATGGCTGCCACCCAGGAGCCTTCCCTCCCGCCACAGACCAGCACACCAGGGGTGAGGCCTAATTACAACAGCTTGGGGTCCTCTTTTCCTCCCCACAAAATCATAAACAGCACCCATGTCGGGCACGGACCATGCAGCCACAGGAAACTTCATTCCGTTCCCTTGGGGTCAATAGACTAGTCCTCATCTTTTTTTTTTTTTAGCATTTATTTTACTGTTTTTTTTAAGACAGAAAAACAGAGAAAGGCAGACATGTTCCTGCCTGTTCACCCCTAAACAGCAAAGCTGGGACTGCACACCTCCATCTCAGTGGACACAGGGGCCAGACACCTGAGCCGTCTGCTGCTGCTTTCCCAGGTGCACCAGCCGGGAGATGCACTGAAAGTGGGGCAGCAGGGACTCCGACTGCTGCTCATATAGGATGCCTGTGTTCTATGCGGCAGCTTAACACACTGCACCACGATATCAGCCTGCAGTCCTCTCGCATCCTTCCTGGTCAGCTCTTTTTCCTTCCGCACTGCCCCACTCTGGCCTGGCTTTCCTAAACCTGCACGCCTCGTCCAGCGCTCTTTCTGTCACTCATTTATCACCTGGTAGCACCCGCTGCATCCCAGACACCACGAGGAAGAACATGAACATGAAGACAGCAGCATTCATGCGGAGACATCAAGAATAAAAAACGGCCACCCTTCAGAATGGGATGCGACACGGTCCAGCTTCACAGAGGTGAGAGACAAGGACACACCCAGGCTGAGAGGGCGGAGCTGCGTCTGCATTAGGCGCTAAAGGGAGTTCAGGAACAGAACAGAGACACCTGCAAGGCACCAGGATCTGAAGGCGCGGGTGGAAGTGGGCGACGTTCACAAGGGCTGGGACCCAAACCTGCAGGAAGGGTCGGATTGTGCTGGGATTCGGAAAGAGCGACATAGGTCACAGTCGGTAATGGACAACCGCGACAGGTGGCCAATGGAGGTCCCTGGCAAAGTCACCCGCAGCGTCACGAGGTGCTGTCACTCGCTCAGCAAGTCTTCCAAACAATGTAATTAGTCGTCAATATCCAGGAAGCGTAAATACCCAATGCAGAGTCTTAGTTTCTTAGTAAAAAAAAAAAAAAAAATCTCACAACACTGGGACAATGTCCCCCAAATGATGATACCTGCCCCATAGCAGGGACAGCAACTGCCTAACACAATCATGTGACTGTAAAACAATCCAGAAAAAAAAAAAAAAAAAGACAGCGATTTCACTGCACAAACTACAGAGAGGTAAAGTAGCAAGTTTGGAAGACATCACAGCAGCGCAAGAAGCGAACAACGCCAGGACTGAATTGGGAGAATGAAGCCCCAGGAAGAAATATACAAAATAAACAAAACTCTCCAGGCACCAGAATTCTTCCTCATCAGGAAACTTCGGCATGCCCTTTGCTCGTGGACAAAGACTAAATTAAAAGAAAGGAGCAGTGTTTCAAAAACGATCTCCAACAAACTAAAGTGGCTATTCAGAAAACGGGGCGCAACATCCAATCCAACACTGCAAAACAGCACAAATGAGGAGGATAAGACTCTGATTCCTGGACTCGCTTCCCAATGGGAGCAGGACGAACTCTGAAACTTTCTCTCCTGACAGAGAGGGACGCTGAGCAGCTCAGGCGGGGTGCTCCTCAGCCAATAGCCCCCTGAGGAGCCGCCCCAGAAGAGGCAGGCCCTGGCCAAGCACTCACACAAGCCGTTGACATCCAGCATGTTGGAGACGCCGCGGTCACTCATGTCCACTTCCGGCTGGTTCTTCTCTCGGCTCTCCTCCACCAACTTTTTCAGAGACTTGGACATGGTCGGTACCTAAGGACAGTCAACCACGTGGGCGACGGTAAGAAGGTGCAGGAAAGGAAAAGACCCTTGAGCTGCCACTCTCAGCCCAGCTGGAGAGGTGGGCACCCAGGGGGGACAGGGTCCAGTTGAGGACAGGAGAATGGGAAAGCGCAGGGAGGGCAGAGTGGCCAGTGCCCGGGACCGTCCCGGCCGCGCAGGGAAGCAGCGCCACACACACACACCACACACACACACACCGCGAGGGACAGTTCCTAGGAGTGCGGGCGTGGAACGACAGGCTCCCACAGGACACAGTCCGACAGCCAGCGATGCACCCGCCCCGGGGACCGAACAAGGAACACGCCCTGCGCGCGGCGCAAGCGCACACCGGCGCGCCCCGCCCGCGCCCCGCCCACGCCGGACCCTTCCCAAATTAGGACAACAGTTTCCCAGACGTGGCTCCAGGCTAGGTTCCGCCCAGAAAAGAATGCGGACCCCTAGGCTGGCCAATCATGTCCGTGATCGCCGCCCTTTGCCTCCGCCCCCGTGCTGACGTAAAGCCATCCTCTTGAAGGAGCTCCACGGACGTTGGGCTTCCTTTGATGCGTGCGCATGTATGTTTGCGCATGCTCCATTGGCTAATCGAAGTACAGAGTGCTGTGGTCGGAAGTGGGGAATTCGGGCAGGGAGTTGTTTGAAGGCGGCGAGGGCTTAGTTTGGTTGTAGTAAGTAAACCTCATTTTCCCTCTTTTAGTAATTACGGATCTACTTTGCCAGAAGTTGCTACCCTGAGTTCCTCTCCGCAAACTGTGCCTTTAGGTAGCCTCGGCGGGTCATGAAATGGGAATACTCCTGCTGTTTACCGCGGTGTGTAGTCACAGCCCGAAGCAAAAAGCATTGCTTTGTGAAACCCGGTAGATTTCTACAGTTGGCTCTTGCACCTGACGGCCTAGATCTCGAGCAATTTAGGCTACAAGTAAAATCCAGCCACTTAATAAATGGCAGTTGACTTTTATATCCGTGAGACAAAATGCCGGAAGCCAGGAATCCCCCACTTTGTCTCTTGAAAAGCAACCAGATTTTGAATTCTGACAAAATCCCCAGCTTTTCCCTCTGTTTCCCCATCCAGTTCCAGTAATATCATATCCTTAAAGACAATTTTATACTATGAAGTAGAGGGTGAGACTGGGCATTTTCCTCCCACCTAAATAATAGGTAATATGATATGATATGACATAAGTACATGTATAAATGACATAAGTGTGAATGCATCATATAGTGTTGTGTTGTGTTAATGATCAAAACCTTAGAGAAGGGTGGTGTGGGGATCCTGCTCTGTGGCACTGTGAGCTAAGCAGCTGTGTGCATAGCTGGCCCCTCATCCCAGTGCCGGCTGCAGTGGGGCTGACCATCCAGCGCCCTTCCTGTGTGCCCCGGGGAGACCGCAGAGGGTGGCCCACGTGCTGCAGCCCTTACCGCTCCTGTGGGAGACCCAGACGGAGTTCTGGCTCCTGGCTTGAGCCATGTGGACAGTGAACGTGTGGGCAGGCATCTCCGCACCCTCCCGTTCCCTCTGTCTCCTTCCACACTTGCTTCTCTTCAGCAGCGCCTGCCTTTGTCTCCTGAGCCCATTCTCTCCTCTAATACTTGGAACTCTGACTTTTGAAACCTCTCTGCTACTGACTCCATTTTTTTTTTCAAAAGTCCTTTATACATGTTTATCTAGTTCTTTCCCATTGATGCTAATATTCTTCCTATAATGGAGGAGTGAGTTTTGGTTGCCCTCTATAAATGCAAGCCTGAAGATCTGAGATTGTTTTTCTGGAAACAGTTTCTTCCCTCTCTTTCCCATGTGCATTGTTTCCATGTTGTGTGAGAAGTAATATTCCTTCTACTGTTTGTTACATCGTTTCAGAGGTGAAGACAAAGGTTTTTTTGTTTTTTTTGTTTTTTTTTTTTTATTGGAAAGGTGGATATACAGAGAGGAGAGACAGAGAGGAAGATCTTCCGTCCATTGATTCACTCCCCAAGTGAGCACAACAGGCCGATGCTATGCCGATCCGAAGCCAGGAGCCTCTTCCGGGTCTCCCACGCGGGTGCAGGGTCCCAAAGCTTTGGGCTGTCCTGGACTGCTTTCCCAGGCCACAGGCAGGGAGCTGGAAGGGAAGCGGGGCTGCCGGGATTAGAACCGGCGCCCATATGGGATCCTGGGCGTGCAAGGCGAGGACCTTAACCACTTGCGCCACCGCGCCGGGCCCCTTTGTTTTTGTTTTTAAAGATTTATTTTTAAAGCAGCCTGGTAAAGGAAGAGCAAGAACAAGAGTGAGAGAAGAAGTGTCTTCCATCCACTGGTTTAACCCCCCAAGTGGTGACAGCAGCCAGACTGGGCTGGGCCAAAATCAGGAGGCTGGAGCTCCATCCAGGCTTCCCAGGGAGGAGGCCAGGGTCCAAATCCTTGGGCAATCTTCTGAGTGCTTCCCGGGCTCAGTAGCAGCGAGCTGGATTGACATGGAGAAGCTGAGACCCAAAATGGCCCTTAGATATGCGAGCAATGGCTTAACGTGCTGTCCTGCTGTCCGTCAATGCTAACGGCAAGAACCCAGCTTTACCCCTGTAGGGCGGCACGAGGCTTCCCTCGCTGAAGAAAGGGGGCTGTGTTAACTCAGTTCCTTCACTTCCTGTCGCAGCATCTCACACGGTACCTTGTCCAGGCAACACCTGGAACACCACTTGCCAGTACTGATGCACTTCTCTCTTGAAGTTCTTGTAGGCTCAAGCTTCTTCCTTTCTGTTTCATTTTCCAGCATTCTCTTATTCACTTCCCACTTCTGGGAATTTTGTTTTTCTTAAAACTTTTCAAAAGTGGGCCTTGTGCAATGGCTCAGTGGTTAAATCCTCACCTTGCCAAGTGCCAAGATCCCATATGGGTACTATTTTTGTGTCCCAGCTGCTCCATTTCCATCCAGTTCCCTGCTTGTGGCCTGGGAAAGCAGTTGAGGACAGCCCAAAGCCTTGGGACCCTGCACCCATGTGGGAGACCTGTAAGAAACTCCTGGCTCCTGGTGGCTTCAGATCGGCTCGGTTCTGACCATTACAGTCATTTGGGGAGTGAACCAATAGATGGAGGATCTTTGTGTCTCCCCTTCTCTCTGTAACTCTGCCTTTCCAATAAAAATAAACCTTTAAAATAAATAAACAAAACATTTGGTCTTGACACTGAATATCATAGAAGTTTTTGTTTTCAAAGCCAGCTGAGCTGATTGAATCTGACATTTTTTAAATCTTTTAAAATCCTAAGATGTAAAACTTTAAAAACCAGGTGGGACTACCTGTGCTAAAAAGATTTTAGGGTCGCGGGAAGCTGCTTGGCCCCTTCCAGGGCTGAGTGACATAGTGCTGGGCAGACACCTGCTCTCATTTCCTGTGCGCAAACCCCCCATCCAGCTCATCGCTCAGCCAACAGTGATGCTTGCTGCTCTTCTTCTTTCCCTTAACAATTCCTCTAAAGTGCTAGAAGGAAATGTGTCCGAGTGAAACCTGCTATAGTGAGGAAGTAGCTTCTGCCCCCACCACAGACACCGGAGGCCTCGCCCTGCTTACTCGTACACTCGGTAGCTCCCAGTGCAGCGGGAAGTCCACCCTCATGCATATCCACCGATCCCTGACAGGCGGCTCTCTATGCCGCGTGAGAAGGGATGGATTCTCTCCAGCCAGAGCACTGTGCCCTCTCATGACTTCTGGACCTTGAAGACCCCATGGCTACAGACATTGACTGACCAGTTCCTTGCTTGTTCGAGCAGCAGTTCCGTCTGGGGGAGCATGTTTCTAAAGCATCTGCACGTGTGGTGATGTCATCCTATCAGACCCAGCAGCAGTGAGACCAAGGAATGCTGGGGACAGCAGGGGCAATGGCAGAGCCAGGAGGGGTGCAGAAATGTGGTTCCAGTTACACACACACACACACACACACACACACACACACACACACAAGCTGTTTTTATTCTGCAAAGAAGTTAAAAAAAAAAAACCCAAAGCAAAACAAAACAAAAACCAAAAGACAAAAAAAGAGAATTGCCTGTGCCGAATGCAAGTCATTAGCACTCTTGTGAGAAAGTGAGGGGCTTGAAGATCTGGGAGAGATAAAGTTGTAAGAACCTATTTCAGCTGTAAGGACCGCCGGGCCAGGGTCCTGGAAGGAAACGCAGGGCGTGGGGCAGACTCAGTGTGGGAAGGCACAGAAGCTCCAGGCAAAGAGGGGACAACTCCAAGGTCGGGGTTAAGGCTTCTGTAGCCAACGCAGGATGTACTTAGGAGCTTGAGCCAGGGTGAGCACAGTGGGATTGGGCGTGGCCTTGGGGGAGGAGGAGGGGCCTTGGAGGAGGGGGCGGGACCAGGGCGTCTGTCTGCTGGGACAGTGAGTCATCCTCCTGCGGGATGCTGGGGTTGACGTTCACTTCACGGATGCCGGAGTTTGTCCCACAGGCTCTTCTCCGTGCTTTACGTGCAGAAACGAACTTAGGTCCAGCAATCCGATGGAGAAGTACGATAATCTCATTTTACAAATAGCTAACTAGGAACTTAACCGAGGAGCTGAAATTCAAAGTTTGTGCTCTGGAAGAAGTGTATGTGTGTGTGTATATATATGAAAATTAATACATATCCTGTCATGAAAAACTAATTGCTCATGGTTCAAAAACTGATGCCGCATAGTTGTGTACAATTCAGTTTCTTACCTTGAGTTTGGACATTCACAGTGAAAATCATAATCCTATTTTGTCACGATCTTTAACATTTTCTAGCACATGTGTCATAACTGCTTGCAATTGTGAAGAATTTAAAAATTTTCAGTCCAGAGTATTAGAAATAAGAATGACATGCAGGGTTCAGAATAAAGAAGCTATATTTCACATTCAAAAAAACAAATGTACATGTACACATGTTTGCTCAAGACATACAAGGGTTCTAGAAGGGATGGGCGGGGGCCGCATGTCAGGCTGGCTGAGTTTGTCCCGCCTGATGCCTCCTGGGCCTGTGTGGAGGACGAGTGTGGAGCACTCCCCTGCCCTGGACCCCTCAGCTGTCCCAGGTCAGCCGGAAGGCAGAGGGTTGCGCTGCGTGGGTGGCGTGGAATCTGATGAAGACCCGGTTCGAGGAAGCTACAAAGGGCGCTATGCTGGTGTCCTAAAGTTGAAAATTAAAAAAAAAAAATTAATGCTTTTTACAGATGTGAACATTTTTGCAGAAATGTTAGCCTAGCTTAAAAAAAATAGTACTACACAAGGAAGCTTTCCAGAATTCAAAATGACCCCCCTCTGTGAGGGAACTTCAGAAAGCTTGTAGAAAAATTGAATTAAGCATAAGCTTATTTTGCTAGAACACACTTTGTAGTCCGTGCACACTTTCTCCTGGTATGTATTTTGCCTGAGCTTTCTTAAGATGACTCACATGGATGGATTTCAACGTTTGGCACCAACATAAATTTCTTTGAAAAAATTAGCAACTTAAACATAATTGTCTGGAGGACACAGAGTGAGAGATACAGAAAGAGTGAAAGGGAGAGAGACAGAGAGAGAGAGAACACTCAGCTGCTGCATTCACTCCCCACGTCTTGGGATGGCTGGGAGCTGGGCCCTCCATCCAGGGCCCCGGTGGGGTGAGCCCCCTCCCAGGTCACCCCTGACCTTCCCAGGGTGTGCTCTTCTGGAGGCTCCAGCGGGAACGGGGCTGGGACTTGAGCGCAGGTGTTCTTGCATCCCAAGCATTGTCTTAATGCCTGCTGTCCACCTAGGCTTTGATTCCATTAAAGTACTCTCATAATTTTAGGATAATCTGGCCAAGCATGAATGTTGCTGGGTTGGGGAGCTGTGAGGAAAATGTAATGGTTGTGTATGGGCACAGGGGGTTTTTTGCTCCGGCAATGAAAATGTCCTACAATTGATCGTGGTGGCGATGGCTGCACAAGTACGTGGATTTACTAGAACCTATTCAATTGTGCGCTCAGAGGGAGTGTGGCATGAGACGCGTTTCTCAGTGCAAGCTTGTTGTTGCAGCAAAATGGTTAGAACTGGAGGACATCCTGTTGAGTGGAATAAGCCATAAAGAAAGACAAAGACCATATGTTCTTCCCTACATGTGGGAGCTAAAATTAAAATTAAAAAAATAGGGAAAGTGCTGACAAAAGGTTTACTGCAAATACAGTGTTTTGTCAAAATGGGTAAAGTATTCCGACAAACGGACAGGCCCCTACAGTCCTGTGCCTGTCTTCCAATCCATCTTGAGAAGGGAAACACCTGTTCATTTTATTGTTGTGCCTCTCCCTTGCCTATTTTCTTACTGATTAAGGATCTTCTTCCTTTTGTTTAATTCCTTGTCTAGTAGAGGCACTAAACTTTTGGCAATAATATCAATTTAAAAAGGTGATCTCAAGAAATAATAATAAAATACCATATTAAAAATTCACCTATAAACAGTATGTATGGGTGATGTGGGGACTGCAGCTAGCCAGGCCTCAGTGTCCTCTCATTAATCAACTATCTGATCAACGTCACTCAAGATACTAGCATGTTGCAGAAGTTGTTTTAAACACTAGAGTTATTTTTTAAAAATGGACAAAACACGAAATGCCCTGCTCGTGTAAAGCTGACATTAGTGGACTTCCGCCTCAATCCCATCCAAGTCATCAAAACACAGACTTGTTGAATTCCAAGACAGTAACTCAATAAGATGAAGACAGGAGACTTTCCCTCAACATATACGTGTGTGTGTGTGTGTGTGTGTGTGTGTGAGAGAGAGAGAGAGAGAGAGAGAGAGAGAGAGAGAGAAAGAGAGATTTTTACCGTGAACTTTTTTCCCAATTTAATCTGCTCCCAAATTTTAAATTCTTATTCCACATTGACCAATTGATATAGATTTAACAGAAGTTTTGAACTGCTTTAATTTCCCTTGCTTTTTTCCCTGCTGCTCTGATTTTTTACAAGTACCTGTGAATGATACGGGAGCCCCCTAAGCACAATGACATTCATTTTAGCAGAACATAAAACATCTTCAAATCATCTTAGGGTTTGTGTCTCCATTTGAAATACAAGCAGTCACTTCCACCAGCACTTGTAATGAATTTACTCTGAGTTGTGTCTTTATGTGTCATAAAGTTTTTATGTTCATGTTTTATGCTTATACTTCCCATTTATGAAATGTTAATCAGAGGTACCTTTAATTTGAAAAAAAAAAAAAGATTGCATATGAGACATTTAAGAAGAATTATAAAACTTGGAGAATATTGTAACCACAATGGATGTAGTGCGGCCCACTCTGTGTTGCAGTGGGTAAAGCTGTGGCGCCAGCATCCCATGGCTGTTTCACTTCCGATCCAGTCCCTTGTGGGTGGATTGTGAAGAGCCACTGCTGTTGGCAGCCTGGGTGAAGCTCCTGACCTCAGGCTCAGCCTGGCCCAGCCCTGGCTCTGGTAGCCATCTGGGGAGTGAATCAGCAGATGGAAGCGCATGCTCTGTCTCTCTCTCTCTCTATCTATCTCTGACTTTCAAATAAACGAAGTTTATGTATTTTTAAAAATGCATACATCTAGTTTTACAATTGTAAAAGAATTGTCAGGATTTCACAAAAGTTGATCTGCTTTTGATATTTTTGAAAAAAAAAAACATTAGTTTTACAAATAATCATATTTAAAAACCTCTCTGGAGTTCTAGAATTCTTTGATGAGAAAGCCTTTTATGCACATATGTAAAGCGCAGGACATTGAGAAGTGCCTCTGCCGGGGCGCGCTTCCCTCCCACCGACGCCGAGGAGTGGGCCGGGCCAGAGACCCGTGACTGTACAGCAGTGCCAGACACTAGCCTCGCATCTAGAGGAGACCTGTCTGCTCAGAACTTAAGTGGTCAGGCACCGGTCGCCATTTCTTCAAACAGTTCCTGCCATTTTCAACAAGTAGAATATGAAATAGAGCTAGCGGTCTAATTTTCTATGGTTCCATTTACAGAGAAATCTACATGGGTATTTCTGGCTAGTTGCAAGGTTTGATAACTTTAGGCCGTGTATCTGTTGAAATGTTGCACTGTGCCCCATAAAACTGTGTATGTAGTATAAACCAAAAACTATTTAAATAGACTAATAAAACCCCCAAATGCCAATGAGTATTTGGCCCTGGGTGGTGCACTGAACTTACATATGGAGCTTTTAAAGAACAGCATGCTCTACCTAACTCCACCTGGATCTATACCACCTCAAATTCTGATTCAATAGCAATATCTGCTATGTCAAGTACTCCGCGGTAGATGATTCCAGTGCATTCTCATTGGGCAACTAGAAACAGTAATTTAATGCAATGACCACCAGATGGCACCCGTGTTCCCCCAATAGCAAGGCAGTCCGGAAACAAATGTCCTGAATTTGTTAAAAGCTTTTGCTTTGTACTTGGCAGGCGCCTTCTAAAGACTATCTGCTATGATACTCTCACTGTCCAGCGGGAATGGAAACGTTTGTTGTACTCACTGCTCCACAGTAGGGTCCGTAGGAAGGCGAGCTGGCGCTGGGCCCGTTGTAGAGTATGAGGTAGTTCTGGACGCAGTCTCCAGGGTCTGCAATGCTGATGAAGTAGAAGCTAACCGTGACGTGCCTGCTGGTGGGCGCGATGAGGGTCCACTCGCAGTGGGTGTTATTTGGGTACGTGTCCGGATACCCAGGGCTGGTGAAGGAGCCGCTGTCTCCATACAGAGTGCCCCCGCAGCCTGCAGGGGAAGAATGACAGGGGGCTTGAGGCCACGAAGCATGTGAAAGGAAATGACCCACTCTGTCTTCTCAGGGGGCTGAGATTCTCCCTTTTCTTGTTTCTACTTTGGGTTGTATCCCTCCCGCCTACTCCACCACCATCACCCAGTCTCCCCCCAGCGTTAGAGTGACCCATGACATCTTCCTCCAGGACCGTTCCTTGAAAACCGTGGACGGAAAAGAACAAGCACTTTGACCAACTAACTGGACGAGACAGTGGAGTTAGCACTGTGTGCTTTGCATGGCAGAGAGCTTTACGATCATAATGTTGTAGTCAAAGCAATATTCCTGGCTCAACCCAGAGGAGAGCGTGCGATCGTGAGCTTGGGCAATAACTGACTTCATAATAAAAGTGGCTATGATCACCACCTGTTTCAGAGTGTTACGCTTCAAGTTCCTTCGGTCTTGATGTTAAGTTCTTTGATTTTTTTTTTTTTTATTTGTACACAAAAGCCATTGGGATTTAGATCAGGTATCCACAGGGACCCAGAAAAACTGCCTCAGTAATGGAACCGCGCCTGGGGCAGGCTCCTGACCATGGCGTCCAGTCCCACCTTCAGTGCGGCCTGGCTGAGCATTTGGGGATACTTTTGTAATCACGGCATACTATTCCCCTCAGCTATAAGGTAAAACACCGGGCAGCAGCCTTGAGTTTTCTTTTGGGGCCAAGATTTTATTAGTATCCCTTCTTATTACTTCATCTATTTAAAATGAATGTGTTCCTAAAACCTTATGTTTAGGTGTGTTGGGACATTTGAGGACAGGACGTAAAGGGTTCTTCTGCTCTTGCGTTCAATGTATTGGCATGAATTCTCTTTCCCTTCAGTTCTTTGATACACAACCAATAAAAAAATGCAAGAAGACACTCTGTGGAAGGGATTAAGCCCTAGGACTGCCAGGAGACACCAGAACTACAGCAGGTAGCTTCTCATTGGAGCCCAAGAATTCGCTGGTCAGTTGGCTTTCTGGCAAAATTCTATTTTCACATTCTCAGAGAACCAACTTATTGACCAAACTCAAACTGGACAAAATAACATTTATAATGGATTTAAAATAAAAATCTATATATACCTATATATGCTTCTTACATGAGCCTATATGTAAAGGAAATAGTAAGCGTAGAATTTCTAAAAAATAATTTTCCTTGTCAAAACTTGTTTTTAACAGAAAGTAATCAACTAGGAGACAGCTAAATTGACGAGGGCCCTTCTGCTTTTCCCACCTGCAGTGCTTTCCATCACAAAGGGCAGATGTCTTACCAGTGGGGGAGGAGGTCCAGATGATTTCATATCCTCGACTGGAGACTGCACCATTGCTCTTAAACCGCAGGTACAGCTGACGGCTCTGAGAGAAGACAGGGTTTGGCAGCAGGGTCCCACAGTACTTGCCAAGTAAGGGTGAACTGTCACTGTTCCCATCTCTCACCTTGGAAAGCAAGATGCTCATTAACTCACATGAAGCTTTCTTCTCCAAAGTGTCACTGTTACGCATTAAGATAGGAGATGGTTTAAATGTCAATTTGTGTGCGTGTGCGCGCGTGTGAAGAGCTGTCTTCCTGTGTATTCAAAAATGAAGTTTTCTGAAGATACACAGAAGTTACCTTCATTTGCAAAGGAGAGAAATACTCTGCAAAACAAACACTGCGTTTGGGTTCAGAAGGAGCCATTAAGAGTGATTAAAATATTAGGGCGTGCTTTAAACGTTAGTTGGTGCTATGCTCCTGTAGCCTTGGTTCTGGTGAGACATTTTGAAGAATGTGATTAAACGGAGCTTTTAAAAGGTAGGAGGAGGCAATATTGCTTATTCCATTGTATATTTTATACATTGTGTGTGTGTGTGTGGGTGTGTGTGTGTGTGTGTACCCCACTGTGAAACACTTGGCTCTCGTGAAGAAAATATACTCTACAGAATGAAGTTCAGAACAAAAGGAATGACTGGCCATCGGGGCAGGACAAAACTCAGTAGATGACTAACATTTCTGACTGCTGTTAAATGTATTTCAGAAATACATTCTGAAGTGGTGGGCACTTTGTTTTCGCTCAGGGCTCAGAGGAGATTTCAAAACAGGAGATGAGTCAGCGGGTGGGAGGGAGAGAGGCTCCCTCTGTCCTCCCACCTGGCTCCTGGCAGCCACTCCGGGTCCATCACCGTGGCCCTCACTGTGGAGGCCGCCCGAGGCCCTGAAGGAAGTGCTGCACATTTGTGCTCTTGGAATCAGCTCAGTTGGTGTAAGTAACTTGACTGCTGTCGTTATTCTGGAGGTTCTTCCACTCCCTTCAAATCGGGGTAACTGCCGGTATTCTTCAGTCACAGGTTTCTCCTGCTGGACTGATACAGGCTTCCTAGCAGGGAGCCAGGGGGAGTCATGCTGCTCAAGTGCTTTCTGCAAGATTCCCCTACATGTTGAAGCGAAGGTGATCTTCCCCAGGCTGCTAGCACGTTCCTCCCGACTAGGGGTCCTGTTTAAAGGCTGCGGCTCCAAGATATGAATTCCCACTGGTGCTGGGGGATGTGACCGCCGAAGGCAGTCGGCATTTTGGGGATGGTAGAGGACCCTGCAAGGGGAGATGAAGGTAGCAAGGACACAGGCGAATTCCAAACGCGTGGCCTAGCGAGTGGCCTCTGTTTCTGGTGACACCATTGGCCCTGGAGAAGAGAGTTCTGTTCCCACGGCTGCAGATGTGAATGGATTGCTTGGGCTTCCTGGTGTGGCTGTCCAGAAACGATGCCCAGAGACCTTGCCACCAACACCCGGGGCACTGCTGCATGCCACGAGCCTCAGGCACAGCTCCCTCTCTCTGCTTATTGGATGGGAACAATCAGATCCCTTCTGTGCACTGAGGCTTAGCCCTCCTGAGGGTCATGAATATGTCTTATTTCCTGTTTCATTTTAGTGTCTGGACTACAAGCTGCTTACTAAATATTTGTGGAGGAAAGAACGGTGAAGAAGTTAGTAAGACATAGAAGGACCTTATGTTGGTAACAGGCTTAGAGAAAAAGGTGAGAACTCTCAACTGACTTTCATGAACTCAAGCACACGTTACCTCCAAGGAGTCCTGTCTGCAGCCACTGGAGTCCTCAATGCGAAATGAGTGAAAGAAGAGGGAAATGGTGTGGTTCTGTGGGGCCGTAAGAATGACGGTGCAATCTGCATCGTTGTTGTAATTCTCTGGCCAGCCAGGACTCCTCAGATTGCCAAATGCCTTGGTATATTCCCTGTTGCAACCTGAGAAGAGAAAAACATCATCATCAAGAATGCACAGAAACCTTGAATGCGCTTGCAACCTGACAGGATTAGTGCACAAAGACTAAGGCCTTGGGAGGAACTTGACACAAGGGAATCCAGGCTCTGTGCTTCCCTTTGCAATAGCTGCGGCTCCAGGAGGTGAGTGACACAGCAGGTGCAGGGCAGTGACCTGTTAACACCATAGGATGCCATGTGAAGAATGGGCTACAAACACGCTCCTCTGAAGATGAATGTTGTGAACTGCTTTGAACTTTCTGGTCACGGTGGAGTGGAGCTGGCTGGCACTCGGACGCCTTCAGACACAAGGGCCGCACCTCCGTGGAGGGCATTCACGAGCCTTTCTTTCCCAAGCCTTTGGGATGTTATTTGTTCTAATAGAACAGACAAAGCCCTGCTCTTGACCATGTTTGGTCACAAAGCCAAACACATTTTTTTTTTCATTGTTTTTATCGGAGGCAACTGAAGTTTAAACCATGTTAAAATAAACATTAAATAAAGTGTTCTCTGGGAATAAACTTATCAAACCCAATAACCCCTTCAAGCCACTTAAGACTTTCTTTCTAAGATATTACAATTTACAATGTGAAAATGATAAAAAAGAAATCATTGAATTGAAAACTTTAAATGGGGAACTTGCATGTAATGAAATTTACAGCTTGGTAAAGCTCTTGCAAAAATACATCTAGTGATCCCTATGTGTCATCAAATACATATGCAATAAAACAGTTGATATATTTGAAGGATATGCTAACATTCTAACGATTTCATGTTACTTCTTCAGAAACCATTTGAGCACCTCGCTAATTTGGGCTTTATTTCTTGTAAAGAATTTACTTCACCTTTTTGGAGTTTATGTTTCATCCCCTAATTTACACACAGGGGTTAATGCTAGGGATCACGGCAATGAATCCAGTTTTGCTGAATGAAAGTCGAAGCTTCGGGGCTCACCTGCAATCTGATAGGTGATCCCTACTCTCGAGTTCCCACTGAAAACTCCAGATTTGAAATTGACAACCGCGGTGCTTCTTGAAGAGTAGAACACCGGCACAGCTGTGGCATTAGGGCCGCAGAACTGATGCCTTGGGTTCCCACGACTCTGAAAAGAAATGCAAGTCAAATCACGTTAGAGTAAGTTGCAGAAGAAAACAGGCCATCACAGAAAGGAAACTGCATATCAAAGTGCGGTTTTCATATACAGCCACGGCCTCTAGTGTTCCAAGTGCCCTGCCACAGGACTCATGTTCGCCTTGGAAGTGACCAGTGTCCATAAAACCATGAAACAGATACTGCCCTGCTGAGATTAAGACCCTCTTCTCCATGCCATGTCACAGCCCAGGCCTGTGCCCTTCCTCTGAGCACAATGTGGTTTGGTCACTCCAGGCTTGCTACTGGCCTTTCCCCATAGATTTGCACTCCTTGAGACTAACCCTATGCTGCTCCGCTCTTGTAGCCCTTGCTACCCCTTAGCAAATCTCATGAGAGCCCTTGGCACCACTGTGAATCCCACAAGATCGCCTAGAATCTGTTCCCTGTTTCCTTTGTAGCCCTTGGCAGCTTCACCACTGTCAGGAGCAGGACTGTGTGGTGGGGAATGCGGGTTCATGGGTCTCAGTTCTTGCCTAGAAACAACGTGTACTAAAATCAGTACATCTGCCTCTCGGTCACTGCTGCCTATAACACCTGTGGGTCGTGAGCATCTACTGGAGGCCCTCGCACATTCTTGCCTGTTACTGATTTGTGCTTCTGCCCCCCACCATGAGACAATGTCTCTTCTTGTCTGCTGTATTCTATGAACTTGAATTTCACTGTTAACCTTGCTTGCACACAACTTCAGCCCTTCCATTTGGGGCTTTCAGTAACCTCGGGTTTCCTGTGGCCTCCTGGCAGGCGTTACCCTCTCCTATGTTTAAAAATTCATGGTGTAAAAGTGGTGGGGGGTGAGGCCCAGTGCAATGGCTCAGTGGTTAAATCCTTGCCTTGAATACGCTGGAATCCCATATGGGTGCCAGTTCGTGTCCGGGTTGTTCCACTTCGCATCCACCTCCCTGTCTGAGACCTGGGAAAGCACTAGAGGATGGCCCAAAGCCTTGAGACCCTGTATCCATGTGGCAGACTGGAAGAAGCTCCTAGCTCCTGGCTTTGGATCAACTTAGCTCTGGCTATTGTGGCCACTTGGGGAGTGGACCAGCACACGGAGATCATCTTCTTCTCTGTCACTTCTCTCTGTGAATCTGTCTTTCCGATAAAATAAATGAATCTTTCCAAAAAGTGGCAGGGGATAGTGAGTGAGTGCAAGGGCTTCTCTGCATTTTTCACTGCTGCTTCCACCTTGCCTCAAAGCCCATCTTCCCTCGAGGGTCTCCACACCTGGCCAGAGAAATACTCTGCAGCCCTTCTCTTAACTCTTTGGTTCTTTCTGGTTATTTCCCTTTATTTATTAGAGATTGTGATGTCTTAGCTGAACCCCTCTTTCCTTGTGCGGTATCTCTATCGATCGAGAGACAGCCTACTAAATATTCTGACTTTGAACACCTCATTATCAGAGGCATCTCTCCTTTCCGTGTTTGCCTGTTCAATGCCGGTTACCCTTAGCACATGTCCTCTACTGCCTCTACATCATAACTTCTTGGTTGCCTTGCGAGTCCCATTTTACCCCCAACTCGTCAGTTAATCTTTTGTCTTTTCTCCTGCCTTCCAAGGCTGAAAACCTTTGTTCTGTCCTTTGTTTATATGGTTGAAAGACATGCAAGTACTGAAGCTTACTTGATACCAGTATCACTGCTGGTAGGCTCCATATTTGCCTTGTGCCCTGCAAAACACCTTTTTATCTCCAAGGGACTGATCTACCCCCAATTCCAACATCAAAGCTTCCATGAAACAATAGGAAACTAAAGGGCCTTTATTCCAAAGGGTCTTGTCCCACTTGGTTGGAAGTCCCTCCAGTGAGGATACCACTGGGGGATGAGACTGTTGTTCTGAAAACCACTACCAGTGGAAGGAGGATAGCCCAGCATTGTGACTGCTGTCAGTGTTTAGGCTTTGCATACACCTCAGCAAGTTCAAGGTCTACCCAGCAGCCAATTCATTTTAGACATCTCCACTAGGAGTCAGACAAACCTCTCTTTCTTGTGAGAAACTACTTGTGAGAAACTAGGAGATCCCAGGTTTATAACAAGGAAGATATTAAAGATTAAATCTCCAGTGGGATTCCATTATTGCCAGCACATGGCGATTTGAACATGTCATTCATGGAAGAAACCAGAGAAGTCTGGCTGATTTCTACGCTACAGAAATACTCAAGGTATTCCCAGATGTTTTTCTAGATATTCATCACCAAGAACAGGCTCTCACTTCATATATCTTCCCTGGATAATATTGTTCTAATTATTTTTACTAACTGTTCATGAGAGAATAGCCCAAATCTTGGAGCTTTCTGTAATCATCTTGCCTTAAGTCTTATCTCTTCAATGTCTCATTCACATGTAAATTAAGATTCAGTACTTTCCTCTTTTATGTCACTGTGAATATAGCTTGGCTGGACTGGTACCAAGCAGCCTCTTTACTGACTTCCCTATATTCTGTATTGATCCTTCAATCAATGCTACCTATACGTAGTTCCCATAAACTACACAAATGCTTCTCGAACCATGGTGCATGGACACACAGAGACACTCCTCAAGACTTCAGGCTAATGGGTTCAGTGAACGTTTCTTAATATGCCCAAACCCAAGGCTTTGTATAAACCTGAAAAATAGATAAAGCTGGAAGCAATTTTGAGAGTTCATTTAATAGTTCATTAGTTGCTACAGGTGTTTTTGCAAATCCCAATGAAAAAGCCACTCACGTGTGTCTGTCACCCATTCAATAATAGTTACCTCTGGTGAGTCCTGAAACTCTAAGTAATTCTGCGTACAGTCCTGTGAGTCCAGCTGTAATTCCCACACAGTGATCTTGACCTGCTGGTGTACAGGAGCTTCAAAGACCCAAGTACAAATGGAAAGGGAGCTGCTGGGGCTGGATAAATTGGATGCAGAAATATTTTGTGGGGTCCAAGTTGCATTATATGTTCCACCACAAGGCACTGACAAAGGAAAAGAGAAACAGTGTAAGAGATGTTTTGAGTTGTGTTTCATCACAGCTGTGATCTTGAAAATTCCACCTCCATGATCATCCTGGCCAAAGGAACTATACTGACATCATTTCATGAAAGATTTAGGCGCATATATCAATTATACCAAAATTATACAATAGGTTAAACACAAGGTAAATACCATATTATCTATGACTGACTTACACAGTAACTGACAATGAGTTTAGACACAATAATATATGATATACAAATTCAATTTACTCACCATCCACAAACGTAAGTGTAGCATTAAATCCTTCCCTTTCTACAGTCACGTCAGTGACAAACTGAACCGTAAGAAAATTACCAGAAGAGGTAAAAGGAGCAGGTACATTGGAACCACAAAATGTTCCAGCCAAGTTGGCATTTTCACTCTCCCCATCATACATCTGAAAATAAAAACAGCTCATGAATGCTCCATCATTCACAAATAAGTCGCATATTTTACACTACACTGGATGCGAAGCCACCATAGTTTAGGAATAAGAATCTTCACATTGGTGTCCATAGCCAGTCTTCATTTGGGAATAAATTGTGATTGATTTGATACTCTTGCAAGAATTTTCAGTAAAAATCTGGTATGCCTGGCATTGTTCCTAAGCCGCTCTGATCTCTTGCCTAGTTTATCCTAAAAATTGCCTACTGTGCTAGTTTCCTGATTTCTTGTTCTTCATTCACCTGCTCTCAAACTATCAGCTGCAGGATGCTATTCAAACGAAGTCTGACCAAACTACCTCTCTAAATAAGTTATCCATCTACCTGCTTCCTCCCGTTATAAAAGCCTAAGCTAAGGCAAAGGCCTGCAGGGCCTAACAGAAGCTGCTGTCCTCTGTACCCTTTACTTTTTTAATTTCATGTCTTACTGTCTTCATCTAGTTCATGCAGCTCTTTGAGCTGGCCAGGCATACTCTGATTCATGAGGATTCCACTTGCTGTTCTCATTGTCTAGAACCATCTTCCCCTGTAGAGCCACACAGTTTGTTCCCCAACATTCCTTCCACTACCCCTGAGTTAGGAAGGCTTTCCTTTGCTTAAACTCTCTCAACATTTCCAATCTTTTCTTCAGAGCAACTTTTAGCTTCTACATAGTGCATATTTATTAGTTTATCCTACATACTTTATATTTAATTTGTCTCCTTTTTCTTCCCCACTGCAGAAATGCAAGTTTCACGGAAGTGAATATTTAGGTCTGCTCAGTTCACTGAAATTTCTAAGGTTTTGGAAGTGCCTGGCACAAAAAAGGTACTCAATATACACACCCAATGCATGATTTCATGGTTTAATTCCTTTTCTTCTACTACCCACATGCCACGGTTTGTTTCATGTTTCTGTAACAGAATGTCACAGCCTGGGTGTCTTACAGAGAAGAGAAACGAATTTCTCACAGTTTTGGGGACCAGAAAGTACAAGCTCACTGAATCAGCCTCTGGTAGAGGCCCCCTTCTGCCTTTTGAGATGGTAAGAGGGCATCCACATGGAGAGAGGGTAGAAGTGTGCTGGCTCAGCTCGCCTACTTTTCATGTCTCAAGTCTTCTTTATCTCAAGAGATATCTGGAATTTAACATATCAGTCATCTTTGATTCTTCTTTTTCTCCTCATTTCTCCCATATCTACTCCATTCTTCCTCCAAATATATCCCAGAAGGCTCCATCTCTGTTGCTACCCCCACGCCCTTCACCTTTGTCATGGTAGTGTGTGTGTGTGTGTGTGTCCACAGTGTTCCCTCAGGCTGAGTGTCTGCTTGTTAGTGTGGAACGATGCACCTGCTCTAACATGCTCCAGAGAATGCACATTGCTATTTGCCAGGGGTTGCATGCCCACCTGATCTGCCATGCCTGCTCCCAGGCTCCTCCCTCTCTGCAGACTCTAAGTCCTCCATTCCAGAAGGCATTCCTCTCCAGGCCTCTGTGCACAGCAAGGGCAAGCTGTGTTTACCTCTTCAATGATGGACGACTCCTTGTCAAGGGACCTCAACTTACGTTTATCTCCCCAGAGGCCAACCCTATGCAATACTGACTTCCCCCAAAGTCATCTGTTTTATTTTTATTATAATCAAAATGTATCTTATTTATGCTTTATTTTCCTTTTCTGGTCTTTCTCCCAACAAGAATGGAAGTCCCATGGGTGGGAAGACTTTGACCTATTCACTGTGATGTTTCCAGCACCTATTCCATCCATCATGACTTTTAAACACGAGGGGCTTGGATTTCTCCAAGACAACCACTACAAAAGGAAGCGTTTTTTTTTCCCTGATGAGGAGATTTCATATTTACAAAACAAGTATCTGTCAGTGTAGTTCCAAACACGGAATTCATAACATAACTGCAGTGTGCCAGAGATCACCAGACAACCGTAACCACCGACAGTGTTTAACACACTAGGACTATAGTATAATAGAGATGGTCAAGAACAGCATTTTAAAACAAAACAAAAACAAAGCCAACAAATAACAAACAATAAGGTACCACTAGATGGCGCCATTCTTCCTACTGAAACACAATCTTAGTACATTTAGAATCAGAAGAGGCTCAAGGGATCTGTAACTAACCCCTCATTTTACAGAGAAGTGTGCTTGCCAAGACTGAAGTAATACACTCTTTCTGGTAAACAAGTTAAAATTTCATTATAATCACTGCTGTGTTGGTATCATATTAGCAAGCATTTCTGTCTGTGTAATGCTGAGCCAGACTTCTGTGCTAGGCTCTCTGTATATGAAGAGTTTTAAAGCACGTTATGAAAACTTTCAATGAACTATTGAGAGAAATTGCCTATGAATTCATATTCAAGAAGATGTTAAACAGTTCATGGAAAGAAATGATGAGAAAAGATACCTTTATTTGGTACCCCAAATTTTTGGACCCATGCTGAATTCACATTCCCATGAGCATTTTGAATGTATGTCTGTGTAAATACATAGGAACACTGTATGCGTATGATATATACACAGCTGTGTACACATGGGATTACACACACAGATGTATAAAGTTATTCAAATGTATGGTATGTGTGTAAATTATATATAAAACAGGAGAGAAATGTCCTACAATAAAAGAATGAAAGTATTTCTGGGGAACCCACAAGATGGAGCCAGGAAAGACCTCACATTGACACTTGAGACCTTCCAGATCTACAGAAGACAAAGAGCAGGCCAGCCAGATGGACAGGAGGTGGAAGGTCACGAACTCCTGACCCTGTGATGGGTGGGGGGATTAGGGAGAGAGAACAGGAGAGATGGAGAAGGCCTTTGGGCAGGGTTCTCAAAGTTCATCTGCTGATTGCCAAGGAGCTGGGACCTTATCCTTCAAGAGTTAGAGGAACTCTTTTGGGTTTTAAACAGACGACTGGCCAATATGGAAGAAGGAATGTGGGAGAAGCCATGCTGTGTGCATGCCAGTCCCAGGTGGACTGGCATTTGCCTACTGCCTGCCTCAATGAGCTCTCTCCTGAGTTGAGAAAGACAGCTTGCACCCTCAGAACAGCTGACATAGGCCTTGACTCATGTGCACTTGAATCAGTTTCTTCAACTGCTTTTCACTGTCCACCCACACCAAAACTCCACCATGGACTTCTGCAGAGCTGTTCTGCACGTTGACACAAGGTACAGTCACATACTTAGAATATAACATAACGTAGAATAAGCAGGATATGAATAGATAGGATACATATATAGGACATGCCATATATAGATGCAGATATAAACAGTGCCCTCAGGGTTGGAATAATTCTATGCAGCTCTGCAAGTACGGAGGTTCTTAGTAGTGTTGTTTTTGAAATCCTGATGCTCTTTTCCAGTGCTTGTAGCCATGTTTGGAATAAAGTAAGTGCTCAAATGAATGAGAACTGATTGAGTGAGTGCAGGAACCAACTCTGAAATACAGGGCCCTGGTGCCTCCATTGACTGTGGATCCTCTCTCCAAAGATGGATGGCTCCTCCTTCCTAATGGCTGACCACAGGCAGAATGGTTAAGCCCATAGAGTCAAGAGAGGTTTTCAATAAAGTTAGTACCATTCTCTAGGGAGTCTTATGAACAAGTATGGTGTTTTGGGGTGTAACTGGCATTTAGTGTTTAGAAACCACGTTACAGAATCCTGTCCTGTTCTAGGTTGAAACATAGGACAGTATTGCAAAGTGACTTTGAATGTCCTGTCTACTATTTCATCCACGTGGATAAAACACTGTTTATAATCATTTAATTCCAGAACCTAAATCCATCCCAAATATAAACACAAAAATGTTTTTGCATACTATTGATATACACCAAATTTCCAGAAATTCAATTAATGTGTAAACTGAGGGCAGGTTGTCCTTTATTTTACTAAGAAATTATTTGTTTTGAGCTTTTCTGCCATCTTGGAAATATCTGTGGCAGATGGCAATGCAGCTATTGGGATTCAAGTTGCAAAATACAACCTACCTAGAGTTATTTAAATTCATACTTTTGCATTCATCCTCTCTCAGCACATGAGAAGAATCCAATGAATTTATTATGTGAGACCATAGTCAGAATATTTACATATAGAAATTGACACTATTTGATGTTTTTCTTTTATTTCTCTTCCTTGTTGCACTGAGTGTATTGTTTATTTTTCTGAAAGTATCTTTATATAAGTGGGTCTATAATACATGATATTTGTTCTTTAGATAGGAATGATTCATTATGAAATAATACCAGTGAACAGGGGCACAGATTGGATTGAGGAAACACTGGACAGTATTGGTAAGGGACCATCCCCTTGCTGCTGGTCTCCAAGCACTGAGCTCTCCAGGCTGTCTCCCCACTGCTCAGCACAGACGCAGCTGGATGGCTGGTGATCAAATGAAGTGCCAAACAAGCTGATACACATTCTCTTTTCCTGCTGCCATAAGAAGGATACTTCTGCCACGTGCCTCCCACCTTTGTGAAGGTTAACAACATGGAGAAGCCCAGCTCTGTCATCCCAGCCAGGAAGCCTTGCTAACCCCCAAATGAAGTCAATCGGGCCGTTTTCTGCTCCATTGTCCACACTGCTCATATTCATGACTTGTCGTGTTCTAGAATAACTTCCTTGCTTACCCTTCAGTCCTCCATTTTACTGACTGCTCTTTTAGAAGCCCGAACTCCTCAGGAGTCATTTTAAAGTCTCCACATCACCAGTGCCAAGTACAGTGCCTGGCACATACTTATACCAGCTAACCCTTTAATGAGATGAATGTGATGTCAATTTCAACAGCAACTGCTCAGTGAAATACATAACTTACTGTGTGCTGAAATTTTTAGTTCTTTCTAGACCAATGGTGATAGAATCATGGATAAATAATAAAACCGAACTGATTCTATTTGTTTATCTACTGCCAAAGCTGAATTAACTTTACTGCATTTTATCATTATGTAATGTTTTCTTGTATCAAAATTTGACTGGAATCCTCATATTGTCTTGGGGGTTTTTTTGTTTTTTTGTTTTTTTTTGGTGGTTTTGTTTGTTTTTTTATTGGAAATGTGGATATACAGAGAGGAGAGACAGAGAGGAAGATCTTTCATTTGATGATTCACTCCCCAAGTGAGCGCAATCAATGGCTGATGCTATGCCGATCTGAAGCCAGGGCTCCTCATGGTCTCCCACACGGGTGCAGGGTCCCAAAGCCCTGGGCCATCCTCGACTGCCCTCCCGGGCCATAGGCAGGGAGCTGGTTGGGAAGCGGGGCCACTGGGATCAGAACCGATGCCCATATGGGATCCCAGGTGTGCAAGGCGAGGACCTTAACCACTTGCGCCATCGTGCTGGGCCCCATTTTGTCTTGTTTTAAAGCACACCTTTTTTGTAAAACCAGGGGCATTTTTGAACAATTTTAAATATCAGCATCAGGTCTATTTTGGCAACTTTGCTTTTACTTTAGAAAGAATTTAACCTGAATTCACAATCCTTGTTCACTCTCATCTTTCATGAACTCCCTTTGATCTGCCTTCTGTGTCTGTACTTTATTAAAATGGTTGACATCCAAAGGAATGGATTTATCTTCCAACTTACCGTTTCATGGCTTCTAATTTACAATTTAATAGTACTGACCACTCATCCTTTGTAAAAAAATATCTTCCTCCCTGACTTCAGTGAGACTATATTCCTCCAACCTTCCCTGTCCATTATGACTCCTCTAGAGTTCAGAACATGCCTCTCTGGCTCCAGGCTCCCTTTCACTGAGCACGTATGGTTGGGCCTGATTTCAGTAATACTCTGTCATCTCTTTGCTCAGGATGTTGCTGCCTTCTTGCTGTACCTCCATTCTCTTCTCTGTCCCCTCTTATCTTATTTGTCTGCTTCATGATACCAAAAACTGTGCCAATAATTTACAAAACCATAGTCTCTGATTAGTGCTGACAGTTTTTTTTTAGTCTCCTAAACATCCTAATTGTCACTGCAAAAATACACATACATAATTGTGTGCTAAAATGTGTATTCCATCTATGACATTCCTTTCCTCACATTTAAAACCAAGTTCGCAAGTTCTTCACAATTTAAGACAATCCAACAACTTAAAACTTTCTGTTGTCCTCATCTACGATGATGACCTTTCCTGATTTCAGGGGCTTCTCATCTAAAAGGGACCTGTTCAGAAACTTAGTTAACCTCTTTTTCCAGCCCATCTTGACCAAAGCTCCTGGTTATTCTTCCTTAAATACTGTTCTCAGCAGTCATTGCAAAACATTCATTGAATTACTTATTTTTGGCTGCATAAAATCTAAATTTATTAGTTTGACTTCAGGATCCTTTGTAATCCAAATATTTCCCACTATTCTTTAAAAATATTCTTACTTATGCCAGCCTCTTTACTCTTTCTATATCATGCACATTTCAATTTCCATGCCTTTTTTTTTTAATGTTCACCTTGTCTAGAATTCTCTCCTGACTTGAGTAAATTGACCTTTACTCTGAAATTTTCCTGATTACATCAGATTGTCCTTAAATTTCTTCATTTCCAAACTTCCACACTGCTTTTCAAGCCTAATGCAAGAATAAAACATGTCAACATTTAAGACTTCACTATCATGGGCGCCGGTTCTAATCCCAGCAGCCCCGCTTCCCTTCCAGCTCCCTGCTTGTGGCCCAGGAAAGCAGTCGAGGACGGCCCAAAGCTTTGGGACCCTGCACCCACGTGGGAGACCCAGAAGAGGCTCCTGGCTTCGGATTGGCATAGCATCGGCCATTGCGCTCACTTGGGGAGTGAATCATCGGACAGAAGATCTTCCTCTCTGTATATCCACCTTTCCAATAATAAATAAATAAATAAATAAATAAAAATAAATCTTAAAAAAAAGACTTAACTATCAAGGGTATTTTATTGTAGATATTTATGTGTCAATCTCTAATTTTTCAATCACATCTGAGTTCTGCATTGACAGAAATCTTGCCACACTTATTTTTTCCCTTTATATACAGCAGTAAAGATTGACCATTGACACTTTAAATTATAATCTGAATGCATATATTCTGATAGATAAGATCACTTAATGTTAAAGAATCATGAAAAAATTTGAACAGAAAATTTCCATTGTTCACATCTAATGGGACTTGAAAATTAAGATATCTTCCATATATAAAGGCAATAGAAGTAGTAAACCTAAAAGCTAAAAAATAGGAAAAAAGCAGTTATTACTTGCATTGTAGACACTGCCATTTTAGAACTTGCTAAGAGCATTTGAGTAGCCCTCTCCAAACAACTCATCTTCTTATAACAATCTCTTGATGGTGCACTTGTGAAATCAATCTTAGAGCATCTGTTAGAAAGCACTGCTGAACCTTTGAGTTTTACATAGTAGAGATTAATTTGATATGAGGATATGGCATCTATAACATTGGATGTAGCATTAGTGAAGAACAGGCCAATGTAAAAAGCATTAGCACTTAGAATTGCCAAGAATTCCTATCTTAGAGGAACTGGAATCTAGTATAATACATTCTGGGATTAGTAGATCCTTTTAAGAAACAGGATAAACTTACCTTTACATAATCATAAACACAGCCTCGTCGAGGAGATTCTGTCTCCAGAACAAATGTGTTGAAGGTGAGCCTAATTTGTTTGTTTACAGGTGCAGTTATGAACCATATGCAGTTTAAAGACTTGTCGTATCTCCCATCGGAGTTGGAATCAGGAGAGGAAAATGTGCTATTTGAACTGGTCAGGTAACCACCGCACCCTTGCTGCGGTCCTGCAGTATAACAAAGACATATCACTACGCAGACCAAAGAGAACAAACATTCAGCTTCATATGAACGGTCTCCAATAGAGCCCAGTTTCTGTTTCTGTCACACTTTTACAGACACTATCAGGTCCTTCATTTTGCTTCACTGGTTACGTGTAGGTGTTTCTTGTACTTGCCTCTGTTCCCTCAAGAGCATTTCCCTCCCTGCTCCCATCACCAACCCTTCGTTTGTCTCTTTCTCACTCACATATACATGTTCTGTTAGAGCACTGGTTCTCTCTGGCGACTAAGTGGTCTTCTATAAACAACACAGAAAAAAATCCTCAGTGCAGAGAATTTAGTTAATTTTTTAAATACTTCATGGTCTAAGTAGATCCTCAGAAAAGGTACAGGAAGAACATAAGAAGGAAAACTTACTGATGGTTTTGAAAAAAATAGTGAGGGTTGAAATAGCCCTAGCTGGAACAGAAATTAAATAAGAGTTCAGATTAACGTTCACAAAGCTTGCATTCTGTACGAAGCTGTGTATTCCAAACATGGGTCATTACCAGTTCCAAAGTTAATTCCACTTTCATTTTCTCTCTCATCCTAATTATCTGTTAGCAGTGAAAGGACTTAAAAAAAAAAGATTATGGAGTGCAAAGATTTCTATACTGTTATCTTGTGAGAAAATGTAGACAGTGGTATCCCTCTTTCATTCTCACCACAAATCCAATGAATAACAAACATACAAAGTGACTTTCACGTTAGCTGAATTTAGGTGAGATTGTCCTGTCTATAACCCCTAAGTCAGGTAAAACCAGATAGTGTTTATATAGTCAGAATCTTCCTAACATCAAAATGTTTACAATGGCCCAGCTGCTGATGTATCCACAGATGGCATCCAGCACGGAATTATTCTGAAAGCTAAGCAATGCACAGAACTGTACTATACATTACCAGTGATTCTGATCCTAGGAAACAGGTCTGCAACCTAAAGTTGGAATCAGAACAGCTTTTATTCTATTGCAGAGTGACTGCTACTTAAGGGAATCATTAGAGCTTATTGGCATGTGTGGCAGGACACAGCAATTACACAGGGTAATGATGGACTGAGAAAGTTATTTTACATATTCTTTTAATATTCAAGGAAATATATTTAGTCTTGAAGCGGGAAAAGATGAATGAGGGTCCATTAGTAGTAATGATGTAAATAATTATGGCATAATTTAAAGAGTAAAAGGTGCCATAAGAAGGACAAAAAAAATGTTTTAATTTTTGCAAGAAGGAAGAGATGTCTTCAGTGTATGAGCATCTAGGATAAAGAGGAGATGACATCTGATGTGGTCTTGAAAGATAAATAGAATTAGATTGTGTAGAAATGGATTTAAATCAGCAACTCCAGGCTGAAAGGATCAAAAGACAAATGAATAAGAATGAACACCCCAGGAAAAGGAAAGCATAATGGGGAACAGGAAAACACAACAGACTCACCAGAGAGTCCCAAGCGCTGCATTCTATTGTTTTAGACTCTTCTATGGATAATGGGGGGGTCCACTTTGAGAGTTTTTGATCAGAAGAGTGGTAGGATAAGAATATACTTGTCAATAAAGTCTGATCTGAAAATTGATCTGGTACCATGGGACTGAAGGAAGTGAGGTCAGTTAAAAGAATAAGGATATGGTGTGGGCTGGCGGTGCCAAGGGATAATAAAGAGTTAGAGGTTTGTATACAGAAAAAATGCTGGATCTGGGGCTTCATTCTATTAATAGAGCAGCTTCAAAAATTAAATGCCTTATAAGATTCAAGCTATTCATCATTTTCAAAAAGATAATTATTGCTAGCAAGTTAAGGACAGAATGACAATGGTACTTGGATACAGTGAATATCATTGCACATATTTATGCAATATTATCACTACCAATACTACTACTACTAGTAGTGCTACTGCTATTGTAAGACAAACCCTCAGTCGGTAGGGTTCCAGACAACAGTTTTTAAATTTTGGGCACCTGCTATTATAGATTGAGAAGACTGGTTGATTGGTCTTTCTCCAGGCACTCTCCTTAAGTGTACTAGAATGGACAGATCACATTTTTCTAATACTTGATGTTAGGCTTGGTTGCATGATTTACTTTAGGTGATTTGTATTAGTAAGCACAATGTAGGCAGAAACCTTAAATGCACATCTGGGGTGAGGCGTAATGGCTCAATCTGCTAATCATTTGCCTGTAAGTGCTGGTGACCCATGTTGGTGCTGCTTCATGTGCCAGCTGCTCCATCTCCCATCCAGCTTCCTCTTTATGGCCTGGGAAAGCAGTGGAGGAAGGCCTTGGGATCACCAGCATGAGAGACGCAGAAGAAGCTCCTGGCTTTACACTGGCTCAGCTCCAACCCTGCAGCCAACTGGGGAGTGAACCAGAAGATGGAAGCTCTTTCAATATTTCCTTCTTTCTATAAATCTGCCTTCCAATAAAAGTAAATTAATCTTAAAATAAATAAACATATGTTTTTGCTTTTTTGGTTTTAGTCAAGGTTTTTTTTCCCCGCTTCTAGAATCCACAGAGAAAGTAGATACAAATGAAGCTGACTCACAGCCAGCCTGAACTCAGGGTATAGTTTGGAACAGACAGGTAAGTCAGTGTGCAGACATGTATGTGATTAAACAAAAACTCTAGTTATCATCCACTTATTCTGAAGTGGTTTATTACAGAACATTACTGTAGTAACAGCAGATAAATACACAAACTGTTTGAATGGTCCAACTATAACACAGCGCACCACCTAACTTATAAAATAAATGGAGAAAATAACCCATGTTTACTGTTTCAGTATTCTAGAATGACCTCCCCCCCTTTTAAGAATAAGACATCTTTACATGTACAGCATCACACATCCATCATTTGCTTCATTACTGCACGTTTTTTGACCATTTAGACAAGCCTCATTCATCAGCAGCTGCTTCATCAGTCAGCTTGTGTCAGAGCCACTGTGGAAAGACACCCTGTGAGGACAAATGGCACACTAACCTTCCTTAAATCAGAAATGTTTCACACAAAAGACCTATTTTCTTTGACGAAAGCAAATGTTTTGGCCGAAGAAATATTGGAAGTATAATCCCATGGAAATCAGAGGAATCAACTCCAAGGTTTACTTAATTAAAAACCAGTAACTGAATCCTAAATGATTTCTCTGCAGTGATTTGATTTCAGAGTGAAGTTCAAGGCAGGACTAATCTGATAAAGGAAGAAACGGCTGCGTTACCTAAGAGCAGGCATGTGAGGTCTCTCCTAGAGTTAGATACACTCTCCACCCCCTCTCTCTCCCCTCAACCCCACACACCCCCAACCCCTGCAGGCTGACATTGTGTTCAGCTCCTCTGATGAGGTCTCTAACCTTCTCTGGACAATCACTACCTCCCTGGGGTATGGCAAGCTCTACTTAAGAGATAGAGATCAGCATGACTGCAGGGATTTTCCTGTTTCTCAGTGAGAATGTTGAGGCTTTAGGGCTATGGTTGGAGGAGGCAGCAGCAAAGCCTGGAGCAAAGCACAAGCAAGTCCAGGACCAGCGCTTTAGGAAAGGAGTGCACTAAGACAGCTTTATGGCAGCCACAATGGGATATCGGACTGGGCTTCATGCATTTCTTCCCTCTGAACAAATCCCCTTGTTGGGATTTGAATCACTCTTAATTTGAGTCACTTTAGCTAGCCTAATTTAAGAATCACTTTAACTTAGAATGTGTATTTAGTCTGCTAATATTTGGAAGCACAACACTAAAGCAGTTAAAAAAAAAGGTAACTTACTAAAAAAGAAAGATAACTAATGCTGAAAATGAATGTGACAAAGTCCAATACACATTCAGGATGAAGAGTCTCAGTAAGAATGGAGGAGACGTTTTTCAGCTTGATAAACCCTTCAGAGAGCAGAACAGTTCATGGGGAAAATCAAAATGCTTCCTTCTCAGCAGGGACAAGGTAAGGACATTTATATCTCACTACTCCGAGCCAGAATAGTATTAGAATTCTTGCCAGTAACATACAAGAAAAACAACATGCAACTTGTACAGAAAGAAATAAAACTGCTACTCTTGCAAATGACATTATTTTCTAGGAAAATGCCAAGGGGTATGCAGAACTGTTCCTAGAACTAACATGTGAGTTCAACAAGATGCAAAAGCAATCCACAAAAAATTAATCACATGCCTAAATCCTAACAACATACATGGAAATCAAAACTGAAAGACATAATACCACTTATAATTATTAGGAAAAATGATTTTGAAGCACACACTTATTTCCAGTAAGGTGCACAGTAATAGAAAATACATAAAAATGTGTATTTAAAATTTAAGAACCGTGAAAGCAATCCAAGAAGATGTACTTAAGTTGAGAGGCATGGCTGTTCCCCCCTCCCATTTGATATACAGATTTAATAGAATTCCTACCAAAACCCTAGCTTTTTTTTTTTTAACACTTAAAATATTAGTTTAAGATTTACTTGGAAATGGACAGGCTTTTAACTAAACAGCTGGTACTATTTGACAAAGAAAAGTAAATCAGGAGGAATAACTCCACCTGATACCGAGGTTTTTTTTTTTTTTTTTTAATAGGTAGGACAGTGTGATATTGGTACAGAGTCGGAGATGTGCAATGATGGGACAGGACAGAGAACCCAGAAAAGCACCCACACAAACGCCAACAAAAGGGCCACAGCAGTCCAATGGATGAAGAATAGGTTTTTTTTAGCAAGGCACTAAAACAACTGGGCACATAGAGGCGAAAACTTAATTTGAATTAGGACCTCACACAAAAATTAACTAATCGTGGGACACAGAAACAAATGAAACAATGTTTTGGGAGAAAACAGCAGAAACTCATTGCGATCTTGGGATAGGCCAAGAATTCTTAAACTTGTTAGGAGAAAACTGGATAAACTTGACTTCCTTAAAATAAACAAATAAATAAATAAATAAAACAAAGCTGTAATTTTGTGACAGACCTTGTTAAAAGGATAGAAGGTATGGA